CTGTAAGTTATGGCTTAAAGCTTACACAGCGTTGAGGACTCTCTTCCCACCCCCAAAGGTGTTGGATACCAAGTACTACTGCTATCACATGGGAAGGAAAGTGAGCGAGTCACATGCTACCCCATATCTCAATCCGTATCTTTCTTCACTCCCAGTGGCAAGGGAGTGAAGGAAGGTATGTGCTCCTGGGAAAGCTAGCTTTCAATAAAGGGAACATGCTGCTTTGCCCTGCATGGGCAACACTGGTTCACTTTAAAGAAGAGCATAGTAACTTTGTATTTTGCTTTCCTAGAAGAAGTTTTGCTGTTAAAAATAATATTCGCACTTTCATTATTATATGCAAGTAAAATACCTTTATAAAGATAAATTTACAACTGAAAGATCACAAGAAAACATTATGATAACTGAATGCGTGGTATTAAATGAAAAAAATGTCTTTGGTAAATGGATATGCCTGGAAGTGATGAAGATAACCTGCTGTCTATGCAACATGAATGACAAGAAGGTAACATTTTCTAGTATATACAGTATTTTCACACCAGGATACTAAATGTATGTATGCGATCAAAAGTCTCATGATGAGTGTGAAAAAATATGAGAATTATTGCCTTCTCTAATTGGCATAAGGATACCAAAATTGTCAACATGTATCATCGTATTCATTTAAATGATAAACATTTAATTAAACAGGTATATTCAAACACAAACTAAAAAAACGTGCAAACTGCAGTAACCCCTTATCAACTACACAGCTTTCTGATTACTACAAAATAGTAACTCAGAATAGTTGTTATAGGTTGCCTTCTGCTTTATGGAATAGGCCCTAAAAACAGAAAATAAAGAACCATCAAACCTAGGTAGCAATACTTATCAGAACAAAGCATAACTGTGACAAATTTCTGGCACTGGAAGGTTTGAAAGATATGAAGGCACCCTATCCTTAGCCTGCATCCTGAACATGCATAGAACTTGTATGGTAAACATTAAGTCACACAAAATGATGATAGGAGAAAGTAGTAAGTCTTAAAAGAGAAGTAAAGCCAAACCTATTTTTGATCAAACAAGTAAATTTACTAATGTAACCCTGTGACCCAAAGTCAGCATATAGCGGGATTCTACTGCACGGGCATTGCCAGCACACCAATGGCACACTAATGTAGTCAAAGACTGGTTGCCATGGGCATGACTACAAGGTAAGTATGCATATGGGGAAGGGGGCTAGAGTAGCATAGACCTAGTGGAGTGGGAGGGGGGAATGTGCGCCCTTTCTTTAAAAATGCACTTATACTTTAAGTTATGAAATACGTTTCACTTCAAAATGTATTGGTGCACTTTATAGAGGAAATCAGTTTCTCTTGGTTAAATTATAGGCCATGTTGGGAAACAGTATTACTCTTTCAGTCTGCAGAGAATACCAAAAACTGAAAAAAATTAAATTTCCGAGTTACACAAAAATTATTTTTTAAATCACCAGCAATGGAACAAGCAACGTGGGAAGCAACAGAACAAGCAACATGTTTTTCGGCTCTTTTTTTTTTGCAGCAATGGAATTCTTATTGCTTGGACGTTTATGAATATGATTCATACCGGCGACTAAACTTTTGTTGATTAGATATAAATTAAACACTCTCTGAAGCATTACTTGTACAACACTGCACTTCAGGAATTAGTATAGTGCTATCATAATGATGAGCAAAATGCAGTTAAAGAGAGACTGGCAAACCAGTATAAATCTTAGAAATATAAATCTTCCCTTTAGGAACATTGAAAGGACAGCCAAGGTGTTAGTAAGTACAGTTTCTAACACCATCAAAAGGCACATGGAAACAGGAGAAAACATTTGAAAGGAACAGGACTAGCAGACCCAAAGCCTAAACAGAATCAGAAAACAAGTTTTTAAGAGTTAACAGTTAATGGGTATAGGTGCCAGTGATCGAAGAAGCAAGTCTAATTTTACAACTGCTAAAGTGCCATGATAAGAAAAAGATGCTTGCCTGGGCTAGGTACCACCACCAGTGGACTACTGAAGACTGGAAGAATGTCTTAATGCCTGCATATGAAATCTTCAGTTCATAATGCAGGGTTTCAGTACTGAGACAATGGAAAGGATGGTTCCTTAATGTGTGATAACAACTATCAAACATGGACGATGAGGCATGATGGTCTAGGGCTCTGGATGCAGACTAGGCAGCTTACACAGAGTGACTGGCAACCAGAACCAACAGGCTACCACAGCATTTTTCAGCACCCTAAAAAAACACCAGGTCTATACCAAGTTGGACATTACAATTTGTTAAACAAATCTATGACATGAATTAAGTTTTAACATCAGTTGTTTAGTACATTGAGATATTAAACTGCATAAATTAAAAAAAATTAATAAAATGAAGGTGTTTCAAAATATTTAACAGGTAGTGACATACTAGCATCCTATATGTGTGCAGTTGAAAACCTTCTCCCTTGAAATCTTGGAAATGATACTCACTCATCTTAAAAATAACTAAAAATAAAGGGAAAAAGGCTGCAAACATTCTGATTTATTAGTCACAGCTTCTCACCCAGCTGATTGCTTGACTCTCCCCCACTATCAGTATATGTACACTGCATTACAACTACATCATTTTGAGAAGCAATGGAGACCTAATTGGCTCAAAGTGAAGACATTGACTGCCCCAGTCTGATTGCTTCTGGGAATTACAGAGGACTAATGTAAAGAAAGATTCAGGGATTTATTTAGTCCACTGCACTTGAAATGCAGTTCATGTTTTTTTTTTTTTTGTTTGTTTTTTTTAAATATGTATTTTATTACACATTTTCAAATGGACAGTTGTATTTTCTTTCTAACATATGAGTAAGCCATTTCTCTGCATATGATGTTTTGTCAAGCTTCACTAACCAATATAAGTGAAGGAAACTTCTCGATCAGGTTGAATAAACACGGGTGAAACAAGTGAGTGAAATATTCAAGAGATAACTACATCCATAGTTAATTTATAACTCAGTCAATGAAACAGCTGACATGAAATCACAAGGGAGAAATCAGAAGTGATTCATTTATTTCTGGTGTGAACTTCATATCGCATCCCAGAAACCAGTATTCATCTCTATCAACACTGTCTAACTAAATGCATTCAAGTGGATTTTAGGCAGATGTTAATTTTATATATCTGTTAAAGCAACAATATTTGTCAGTATTAAAACCTCACTGGCAAATTTTAGCTGTGAGCAGAAGGTAAAAAGGTGACATGGTATAATGGAGGATCAAAAATAACAAAGTCTCATCCCAGGGTATGTCATAGCTCAGATTACTTTCTTTAGAAAAAATAATTGAAGGGACACATTAACATGACAAGATTATTCAGCCTTAAAACAGCTTTGAGGTTCCATGTCAGCGCTGTCCTACTCAAGTGACATCTAGACTTCTGTTGTAAAATCAGCTGAATACTAATAGGTGTCTAGTCACTTAAGATGTTAATCATCTGTAAGTATTATGTGATACTAAATACAAAATAAATGTATCCATTTGGTACTGCACTTTATGAGATTACTAATGTTCAGTAAATGGCATCGTATCTGCTTTTGCTATTTTAAAAGGCATGTGGTATAGAAAATGCAATTGCAGTAAAATGGGTGGAGATTGGAGAGTAGACTAAGAAAAAAAAAAAAGACTAGAAAACTGTGAGAAGAAAATAGGCAAAAATAAGAGGAGACTTAAGAGAAAACATTAGTATGTGTATGCACAAGGAAGGAAAGTGCTCTGGGCTGATATGTAGGACACGCCAATAAATCAAGTTACAAGAGCCCAGTATAAGATTTAACATTTAAAAATCTAAGCACACTATAGCTTTTAAATCACAAATGCATGAATACATAATTTTATATATTTAGTGATTTAGATCCCTGTCCCTGGCTCATTTGAGGTCTAAAATGGGAAGGTCATCACCTTGACAAGCTGCAGAATATGCATAAGGCTTTCCACTGATGTAAATGTAGCGCAAGTGGAATCTGTTCCAAGAAGAGTTAGCCTGTGTCAATAGTTTTAGTTTGCTTCAAACGGGTTTTGCATTCCCATATAAATCTACTGGTATGCAAAACCCACTTGAAGCAAGTCAAATGCATGCCAGAAAGAGGGCAACTGCAGATCAAATGTACCTGTTAATTATTTCTGAATGATTTCTCACACAAGTCCAAAGTGGATTGACATAGACTCTTACTGTGTGCAGCTGTATAATGCATTTCAGCAGGAGTGTCGCTATACTTTTAGTTGCCCGAGGCTGGTGCACGGTACCTCTGGCTCAGTCTGGCATCCCGCCCAGCACCTAGCAACAAATGACCTCAGTGAGCTTGGTGGGACGCTGGACAGAGTGTCAAAGGTTGCCAAGACCGCTTAGCAACCTGGGACGTTCTGGCCAGAAAGCGTGACCCATGGAGTTGCCGCTTGATGCAACTGCAGGGACGGCCATGCATTTTAGGTAAGCATGTTCAATTACATGGTGGAGGGCATGGGGCCCCAAGGAGGAGAAATCCTCTAAAGTTGACTTATCCTTTGTAACTGCAAACACATAAAATGTGTTTCTTGACAACAATTTCCATCAAAAGATGCAGTGGTGTGGAGAGGTAACTGGATCAACTCATTTTATTTACACATTTAAACTTCAGTGTTTGTAAGATCGGATTATGCTTTATCCTTAGTGAGCATGGTGAGATATCTTCTAAAGGATTAACTTTTTTTTACTGTGAATGGTAAACTGTGAGTTTGCTCTGAATGCTAATAATGTCCCTGCCCCGTAAAGTTCATTATTCTCTGTCAGGTATGTTGAGTTATAGACACTAATGTCATAAGTAACACGACAATGAAGATGAAAAACTTAGAGCAATCAACCAATGTGGCAGCAGTGTGACACATTTCACTTGTAAATTTACACACAAGCCCTTAGGGTCTGATGTACTGTAAACATGTTTTGTGTATGACAGGTATCATTTCAGCAATATCTGCTTACCTCTTTCAGGATCCTTTCATTGAAGAATTGCTGCAGCTTCTCGTTACAGTAGTTAATGCAGAATTGTTCAAAACTGTTGTGTTCAAAGTATTCTGAAAATACAGAAGATCAGAACAATTAGATTCATACAATCCCCTCTTCATTTAGTAAAAGTATTCCAAAAGGCTTTGACTGTTGACACACTGGTTGTTGCTTAATTAGCAGCACATACTGTATATAGATGCATTAAAATGGGAAAATAAAAAATTACTCTCAGTAGGTCTTTGGAAGGAAGAGTTTGGTTTCCACAATGTGATTGGACAGTACTACCCTTCATCTCTCCATTCCCCTGGACAGAATTTATACTAACCTAGAACTACAACTAGATTCCTCCTCTTCCCTTTGACTGTGATGTACTAACTACATTATGTGAGTCTCTATAGGTCCTCTATCACTTTTAGTGTCACAGCTACAAGGCAGTGGAGGACCTGTGCTAATCAAACTACAAGAAAGGTTTTTCTTAAATGATATAAGAGAAAAGATAACTTGGAAATAAAACAGTCAAAATTCAGGCGAAGGAGGGAAAAATAAACCAATGCAATCAATAACAAAGAAAGAGATAAATGAGGAAAAGGCAAAATAATATTAGACAAGGAATGGGAACTGGAAGTTAATGCATGTGGGAAAACAAGAGAACTACAAACAAGAGAAACGAAGTACAGAGCTGCACTCAGGGGACATCATGGAAGAACACAGGCTAAGGCATGTAATAGATTTTGGACAGAAAAATTGATTTAATGGAGTGTTTTATCCACGGGGCAGGGTACTTTTAACTCTAAATTCTGGCTAAAAAAACAAAAAACAGACACAATAAACTGACCTTCAATTTGTAATATAAAAGCACATGTTTCACCAACTTTAGATAGAACAAGATTGCACAAGTGTAAAGAGACACTGTTCAATTGTTCCCTTGACCACAATGTCTTACTCTCTTTTCATTATTACAGCTTCTGGCTTGTATCAAGTGCCAGAGTTGTATAAACTGTTTAACTACATGAAAGAAAGAAACAGCACTTTCTCCTCGTGGTATACCATTTATTAAAACAGAGTGCATAAATCAGACGTCCATTCTACGCACATGTTCAGTCCAGATAACATCAGGAAACAATCCCATATTAAATAACCCAAGTATGGAACAAAGAAGATGAAGAGACCCTTCAGCATGGGATGGTGGACAATAGTTACTGCATTTCAAGGGATAGACCACCTTCTTCAGAGCTTACTGGAAGGCTGGGTTCACACCTAGGCGTATCGAATATGCGCGTTTGTCGCACGTTTCGCGACGCGCATTTTTACCGCGATTCGCGGTAAAAAAACGCGCCTTTCCGAGGGCTACTTGGCTTGATCCCAATGGAAACGCGCGACAAAAACGCCCCAAAGAAGCTCCTGTACTTCTTTGGGCGTAGGACGTTTTGTAGCGCGTTCATACGGCCTGTAAATACGCCCAGGTGTGAACCATACCCATAGGAAATAATGGGATGTGTTTTCGGTGTTTGAGCGTTTTGCTCATGTGGGAAAACAAGAGAACTACAAACAAGAGAAACGAAGTACAGAGCTGCACTCAGGGGACATCATGGAAGAACACAGGCTAAGGCATGTAATAGATTTTGGACAGAAAAATTGATTTAATGGAGTGTTTTATCCACGGGGCAGGGTACTTTTAACTCTAAATTCTGGCTAAAAAAACAAAAAACAGACACAATAAACTGACCTTCAATTTGTAATATAAAAGCACATGTTTCACCAACTTTAGATAGAACAAGATTGCACAAGTGTAAAGAGACACTGTTCAATTGTTCCCTTGACCACAATGTCTTACTCTCTTTTCATTATTACAGCTTCTGGCTTGTATCAAGTGCCAGAGTTGTATAAACTGTTTAACTACATGAAAGAAAGAAACAGCACTTTCTCCTCGTGGTATACCATTTATTAAAACAGAGTGCATAAATCAGACGTCCATTCTACGCACATGTTCAGTCCAGATAACATCAGGAAACAATCCCATATTAAATAACCCAAGTATGGAACAAAGAAGATGAAGAGACCCTTCAGCATGGGATGGTGGACAATAGTTACTGCATTTCAAGGGATAGACCACCTTCTTCAGAGCTTACTGGAAGGCTGGGTTCACACCTAGGCGTATCGAATATGCGCGTTTGTCGCACGTTTCGCGACGCGCATTTTTACCGCGATTCGCGGTAAAAAAACGCGCCTTTCCGAGGGCTACTTGGCTTGATCCCAATGGAAACGCGCGACAAAAACGCCCCAAAGAAGCTCCTGTACTTCTTTGGGCGTAGGACGTTTTGTAGCGCGTTCATACGGCCTGTAAATACGCCCAGGTGTGAACCATACCCATAGGAAATAATGGGATGTGTTTTCGGTGTTTGAGCGTTTTGCAGAGCGTTCGAACACGCTACAAAACGCCCAGGTGTGAACTAGGCCTTATACATTAAGCTCTGCAAAAGGGAGTCTAACCCTTGAAATGCTTTAGCAATTGTCTATGATCACATGCTGAAGGGTCTCTTCAAATTCTTTGTTCTGTATTACAGTTCTTTGTTTTGTATTACAGTTGACTCTGAAGAAGGGAGTCTAACCCTTGATAAAGCAGTATTTATTGCACTTTTTAAAAAGATACAATTAAATACTCAAAGGAACTTTTAACAGAGCAAAGAGGAGCAAATAAGAGAAGTGCATTGATAGGGTTTAGGTACACTTTATCATTTTAACAATAAGGTTTATTTAATAATATATAACACATACATAGTATAACATAACATAATTATTGAAATGCAATCAGCATTTGGGAATACCACACTATACGGTTTGGGCTGAAGATTTGTATCTGTAGTGTATTTGATAGTGATGTGTACAACAGGCTAAAGATCTTGTGTAATAGGACAAAATGGCCAGTGTCTGTCTAATTTGATAAGTATGATCTATACACTTTTCAAAGCATAATATATAACACATAAATAGTATAACATACCAATATTTATTTAAATGCAATCAGCATTTGGGAATACAATACTATATGGTTTTGGAGTGCCTGTCTAATGTGATTAGTACGATGTATACACTTTTGAAAGCATCAGGTTACGTTTAGCCCATACGTTTCTATATTGGTACAAGGATGAAGTAGACTTTGAATTATCTATATGAAATTGTTTCATATTTACTTACTGATTAATCACTTTGAATGTTCATGCAATTACATATAAATGGGTGTAAGGTTCTGTAAGCTCCAAGCCCACTAGGCTGACTAAATGCCATCAGGGGCTGTCAGTGCAACTGCATTCATTTCTATGATGAATGGAGGTTAATGCAGGGCAAATCGCATGGCAGTACAGATCTGCACATCAGCAGCCCAAAAGGACAATCATTTTGGCAGATGAAGCTAGTCTGGATTTCTATTTACTTGTGGTTTGAGAGGATGATCTTTACTACATAGGAATCGGAGATTAAACAGAACTGCCTCTGCACCTGAAATGTAAAGTCTGATCCATGCCCAGCGTCTAAGAAGCATAGATGTGTTACTGGCTGGAATATATCAAAGCAGAGCACGGATAACACAAACGTAATGTCGCTTGGGATGCTTGAAATGTCACAAATCAGCAGCTCAAATATAGTCAGCAAAAAGACTTTAGCTTAGCAATAATTAAGCAGCACAAATAAAAAGGCTTGTATAAACAAAGAATAGCATATTAGGCACCCAAAATCTAATATTACGTGCAAAACCAAGTTAGTCTCCCAATTGTGCACTGTAAATTATATTGAAAGAAAATTATAAATGGGCAGCAGATACACTGCTGAAGACACGTAACCAGAAAAAAAAATCTGTTTTAGCAATTTTACAAAGGCAGACAAAATTAACTTGATTGCTGCTGAGCATGTGTTTTTTAAATAAAAAGCCATATAAATAAAAACGTAACTATGTGGTTTACTTACCAAAGCCAGCAATATCTAAAACGCCAATGAAGAAAGAAGACCTCTCAAATGGGAAACATTGGTTTACTCGGTTAACCACATGATCAAAAAGTCGGCTGTATACCGCTTTTGCCAGCGCATCCCGGGCATTATTTGCTTGCTCCACTTTCAGAGGCACCCTGAAAACACAGACAGTATGAGCATTAGTCATTTTCTCAAAATTCTTTATTCATGAACAAAAGGGCAAGACACAGAAAACTGGAATATACAAGCTATACGGCAGAGAATTATACAATATATACAGACCCATCGAACAGATAAAACCATCAAAGATAGAACAGTATTGGAAACTTCTATTATCTTCCCAGGTCTGACCACGTATTTTCCCCTAAACCCTTAAGGCATTTTGAATATTTAAAACTGAAGAATTAACACATAGAATAGAACAAACTGAAGGAGATCTTCCACCAAATCTAGTGGACAACCCCAAACACATTGAAACCATAAGAAAACAGAAGAAAAAAGGAACATACACCACTACATATAACAAAGAATAGACAAAGATTAGGGAAGGGTAATACACACACATATCCCTGTCTACAGGAAGCCCCAGACTCACCAGCTCAGAGCCCATACAGCATTCCAGGCTCAGGTCAGGTAATATCAAGTAGCGACCTGCATCAACATCAAACACTCACTCCTGACACACTTGAGAGAACACAGATGAATCCCAGAACAGAGACCACATGGCCCAAGTAGTTATGAATTTGTTCTAAGACCCACGTAGCGAGGAGGTCAGGTCTTTCATCAGTTTAATCTCCTCCACCCACTGCGCTCACATCTTCACAGAAGGTGGTCAGGTCTGCTTCCAAAGAGCTGGGACACAGGCCCTCACCGCATTCAGCAGGTGAATCAGCAAAGAGCAGCTATAGCGTTTTCGTGAGATTGAGGCCAGGTGGAGGAGAAATACAGAGGGGGTAAAAGGTAGGGTAAGTCCTGTAATCTCCTGTATCAAGGCTGCAATTCGGGACCAGAATAGCTTAACCTTTGGGTATTGCCAGAAAATGTGCAGCAGGGATCCTACCTCCTTCCCACCACGCCAGCACACTTCATGCACAGAAGGATACATAGCATAAAGGACCGTGGGGACTCTATACCATCTGGTCAACAGTTTATAACCTGCTTCCTGGTATTTATTGGACACAGATGACTTAAGAGCAAAGTACAACATGCAATCCACCTGCGAGGGACTGAAATCCACATCCAGGTCTGACGCCCACTGTCTGACAAAGTAAGGAGGAGGAAGGTCTGGAGGGTTACGTAAACATTCAACCAAGCGAGCCAGCATATGTCTCAACGGTTCTGCCGTCACACACATTTTCTCAAAGTAGTCATTTATCCACAAAAATAAATTTAAATTAAATGCAAAAGTGGAAAGAAAAAAAACAAAAACAAAAGGAGAAAGCCTCCTACCAAAACGGTCAGTGCTAGAGAAGAGACATTAAAAACCAATGCTGGCACTATTTTACATCTAGAACTGAAGCCAAAACATTTTTTTCGTTTTGGATAGAGTAAGATTGGGTTATTTTGTAATCTGTGTCCTATTGAGGAGATTCCCCTTCACTTCCTGTCCAATAGCTACAGAGGGGAGAAAATCCCTGGTGTTCAGCAGGGTCACCAGAACTAATGTCCGCATTGGAAGATTTCTCATTTATCTCTGTTTTAAAGACAATCCAAAATGTGGTCAGTGATAACTGTCACCAGGACAAAAATAGTGTGTATATCTCTTAAACAGGGACACAGACAGCAAAAAAAAACCAAAAAAAAAACAGACCTTTATTCTAATCCCTCTCCATTCCAAAAGTTAAAAAGAAAAAAATGTTTTACTTCAATTGCACTTTAATCACTTAAAAAACATATTTAACAACATTTCACAGAATACCATTAACTCCAATCCCTCACCCAAGGGCAGCAAAGCGGGGCAAATAGTGTTCCAGTTTGGTTCTTTTAGTTTGTTGGAGGGAACTCACATAAACTGGGGACATCGTGCAAAATCTGTGCATGCAGTGCATCTTGTGATAATCAAGATTAAAACTCAAGATTTAGACCCAAGCACTACAAGGCTAAAGTGCTAAATGCTAATCTCTGCTGTGCTGTTAACTAATGTAAACAAAAGCACATTGCTTCAAAAAAAATTCAAAGTTGAAATAACACTTTATTTATTAAACATAAAACGCACATTCAAAACGAGGTTAAAAACATATCCAACAACCTGAAATTCCCTTTTGTGCAAACAATATTTAAGCTGGGATCCAATGAACCTCTACAAACAGCTGCACCAACAGTTGCCTCTCAGATTGTACTTGGTATACTTGGTTATAATATACAGTATAACATCTGTCAGCCTTCCAAGAAATGTACTCACGGTTCCTGCTAAATGTTCAGCAAATATACTGTTTGATAATATCCATCAAGAGTGTCCCAAGTCTCTGTGAACACCCCTGTTGGGAACACTAGTGCTATCCAAAGATTCCTCTGTCCATAGATTAAGCCTGCTCTCCAGCCAACCAGGCTCTGACACGTCCCTCCTTTATTCCATTCCTCAAGCTCACAAAGTCAAGCAAGCATAGTTCACAGACAAGGGGACATTCGGGATGTTGTACTGTATATGCGGTTTCAATCATGTTTCTAATGTGTATTTTTTGCTTACTAAATAAAATGATATTTTTTTTAAAGAATATGTTTTTATTGGATTATAACAAAAATAACAGTACATAGAAATTACTGGTAGTAATGAACAGAGAACGGTAAGTGAGATGGGATAAAACCCTCAGCAGCCAGCTGCAAGTCACCACGGCAAATAAAATGTTATTTTAACTGTTACTCCAACCAACTTGGGTAGTGATACATTGTAGAACAAAATATATTTAATGTGACACTAAACTCAAGTTAAAACTTAAAAACGCATTCAAGTTCCTTAACTATTACCAAAAAAATGTTTCTTATGTGTACATTACTCAGGTGTAGATCCGCAAATAATTTCTGAATTCACGCTGACACTGTCTTTCCTTCTGGAGGGTGGCTACTTTTGTTCCCCATGGTCCCTGTCTGTGTATGTTGTAGAGTAGGCACCACGCCAAGCTCGCTCTTGTGATGGAATACAATCTCACGTTTAGTTAGCTAATTTGTACTGAAGTCCATCATGGGAGTGAGCTTGGAGTTCCAGAAGGAAGGACAGTGTCGGCATGAATTCAGAAATCATTTGAGGATCTACAGCTGAGTGATACACAAATAAGATTAATTTTTGTTAATAAGGTAGTTGAATACATTTTTAAGATTTAACTCCTGAGGTCAGTGACACTTTAAAGTAGATTGAGGTGTGATTCAAAATAAGTTTGCCAACAGACTAAGCCTGTTACCTGACTGATATTTTACAGACCTGGCCAGAAACATAGGAATTTTTACCAATGTTGTTAATAGATAAGCTGGTATTTTTTTTCCTAGAAAGGGGAGCTGCATTACCTTAGAGTCATGACTGTCTTTGAAGGCTTACACTTGATGCAGTTTACTAGCACTTACCATGGCTTGCCGACTTTTGATATTACTTATTCTGATACAATGTATATACACTGAGTGTATATACACACTCACACATATACAGTCCACACTCAATGGCCACTTTATTAGGTACACCTTACTAGTACCAGGTTGGACCCCCTTTTGGGATAGACATGGTCAGCAACAATACTTATGTAGGCTGTGGCATTTAAAAGATGACCAATAGGTACCAAGAGGCTGAACGTGTGCCAAGAAAATATCACCCACACCATTACCACTAGCCTGAACTGTTTATACAAGGCAGGAAGGCTCTATGCTTTCATGCCAAATTCTGACAAGACCATTTGAATGTAGCAGCGGAAATTGAGACTCATCAGACCAGGGAACATTTTTCCAATCTTCTATTGTACAATTTTCATGAGCTCTTGCAAAGTGTAGCTTCCGTTTCCTGTTCTTAGCTGATAGAAGTGGCACCCGGTGTGGTCTTCTGCTGCTGTAGCCCATCTGCTTCAAGGTTCGATGTGTTGTGCATTCAGAGATCCTATTCTGTTGAATTACTGTTGCCTTTCTATCAACTTGAGCCAGTCTAGCCATTCTCCTCTGACATCTGGCATCAACAAGGCATTTTTGCCTAGAGAACTGCGACTCACTGGATATTTTCTCTTTTTAAGACCATTTTCTGCAAACCCTACAGATGGTTATGCATGAAAATCCCAGTAGATCAGCAGTTTCTAAAATACTCAGACCAGTCCGTATAGCACGAACAATCATGTAACTTTCAAAGTCCCTTTTCTTCCCCATTCTGATGTTCAGTTTGAACTTCAGCAGATCACCTGACCATGTCTACATGCCTAAATGCATTGCTGCCATGTGATTGGCTGATTAGATATTTGCTATAATGAGTAGTCAAACAGGTGTACCTAATAAAGTGGCCAGTGAGTGTGTATCTCTTTTACTAAAATACCATCACTGGTTTTTAAAACCGCCAAATTATGGGATACTTATATGCAACATAACATGTTTGCTGTACAGACTATTACAGCACTAAACTTTTAGATGTAATAGCTTTCCGACTCATCTTTTTACATATGAGCAAATTGAAACAGCAAAAGTGGTTTACAGATGTTTGAAACAGATGTCAAAATGTAATCCAGGCACAAAATCGAAAAATGGTTACACATGCTTTTTTTCTGCAAGCAATAGAAGTATATACAGATTGAAGGTTTTGATTTACAAATAGTTCCTTGTCCCAATATTAAAACCACCCATAAGCATGCACACTAGGATATAAAAGAGATGTTGACTCCATGACTGAGAACTGTTCTTTCCTGAACGTGTCAGCTTATGTATTACCCAATCTATTGAATTATTGGGTTGCTCACATTTACAGTATATCGCAAACAGTATTAACTTGTAAACTGCCAACTTAGCAAGGCCCAAAAAAGTAAAATATATTGAATACTTTACCAGGCTAGTAATCAAATCATATTTCTGTCATTAACACATATAACATTCAGTCTTGTTGCAAGTCTAAAGGGCCACCTTTCACAGTTCTATGGTATTTTGTTATTTCTATACAAGAACAAGTACATTGGAAGCCTTTAGCTCCACAAGTGTTAAG